CCATGTTTTGGTGTTGTTTGGACCAAAATCACATGTGATTTTGGATAGGCATAATATTGTTTTGTTTGGGTTTTGTGCTTGGTTATTAGGTCTAGGTATAAATAGTGTTATTTTAGCCTAGATAGAGGAGTTGGATGTTCTTAGAGGCAGCCACATGCATTGGACGTGAGTTTAGAGAGAAACAAGAGAGAACAGTGTGTAATCAACATCTTACATACCCGTTTATTCAATCTAATAGTGTGCATTAAAGATTAACACTTTGTGTTCTTATTCTATATTTCATCTTGATTCATTCACTTGATTGGGATTCCACACCATCAAGTGAATCCGATTGATACATCATACCAATTTTGGGACTTACAAACATATTATTAAAATAGATTATCTTTTGTGTCATGCTATTCATAAATTTAAACTTTGGACCATATTCTTTTTGAGTTTTCTTCTCATGGTTTTTATATGATCACAAATTGCATGGTTTTGGAATATTGATATAACAAGTGTTTCCAACTTACATTGTTCCAGGGTCATAGCTACTCATGCACAAGTTGGGTCCTAAGACTTACCTTTTTTTAATACAACAATAATATATAAAAAATATTAGGACCTATCTTAATTTTTGTAAAGACCTACCTAATAATTTTTGGCAAAAAAAAATATTGTATTAGCGCATATATCATATCTCTAATTGTCTAATAGCCCAGTATCATAATGTATTTTTATTAATTAATAGCCCAATCCGATGATTTATTTAGTATTGAAAGAAAAGGAAACAGAAATGGAAACGTCACACGTGCTGCGTCACACTCTTGTTGTCTCGCATCATCGATTCACGGGTTGTTGGTTGTTGTTCGATCGTCGATGTTCCCTGCTCCTTTTGTCGTCGTCGCCTTTAGTTATTTATGCTAATTATTCGACTAATTTAAATCTTATGTGGCTTATTTTAGGTGAGCTTGAGAGTGGTACCAATTTGAATCAATAAGTTGGTATTTAACAACCGTTATACTCAATGGGGTTCTCATTTTGCATCTTTATTAAATATCCAAACCATATATGCTTTCATTTGTGATGTACTTGAAGACCTTGGTAAATTTAATGGTGCTCATGATCGTAGAGATGAAGCAATTCGCATCTTAAAGTGGTTGAAATTGTTTGATTTTGTGTTTTGTCTACATTTGATGGTTTATATCTTGGGAGTGATGGATCATTTGAATACAATACTACAAAGAAAAAACCAAGATATCGTAAATGCCATGAATCAAGTAAGGGGGTGTTTGGATAGGAAAAAAAGAGGGTGTTTATTGCTTATTGTTTATTCCCACCACAATAAATTAAGTTTAAGTGTTTGGATAGGAATCCTTAACAATCAGCTTATTGTGGTAGGGATAAGCTAAATAAGCTGATTTTAATAACAATCTCCCCTTGATTATTGCTTATTGCTTATTCCCACTACAAATAAGCTAATAAGCTATAATCTAATTTATCCAAAACACCCCCTAAGTAGCTCACAAAAAAAAAACAATTCAAGAAATTACGGATGTAGGATGGGAACCACTTTCAGAGAAATTTACTTTGTTTTGTGATAAAACGAAGTTAAAGTCTTGGATTTGGAAGAAGCATATTATAATGGATACACTCATCGAAGAGGTTCACATGTTAGTAATGTTTGTTATTACCGACTACCACATTGCTTTATAAATATATTATGTTTTATCAATTAGTTATATATATATATATATATATATATATATATATATATATATATATATATATATATATATATATATATATATATATATAAAAGGTTAACAACTTGCACCACTATCAAGTTGATGTATTTAAAGAGGTGAATGATATGTAACTTCAAGAGTTGAATCATCACTTTAATAAGGTAAACACGGATTTACTTCTTTGTATTGCTTGTTTGTGTCCGGTGAATCTTTCAAAGCCTTTGATTTAGATAAAATAATGAAAATGGATACATTTTATCCTAAAGAGTTTCCAACAAAATATGATCTTCCATTTTATTGAAGTGGAACTTGGAAATTACATTAAAAATGTGAAAGAAGATGAATGATTTAATGATTTGAAGAACATTGGAGACCTTGCCAAAGTGATGGTTGAAGAAAAGAAGCATATAATAATTTCTAAGATTTATCTTCTTGTGAATCTTGCATTGGTCTTACTCGTAGTAACATAAAGTGTGGAACACACATTTTCAGCAATGAAGTTGATAAAGACTAATATACGCAATAAAATGAGTGATCAATTTTTGGAGTGATAGTTTAGTGTCGTATATTGAAAAAAAATGTTTTAAAAGGTATCGATAACAACACAATTGTAAAAATGTTTCAAGATATAAAACCTCGTAGAGTTCAACTGTAAAAACTTTATTATAACTACTGAAGTGATGTTTAAATATTTTAGCCATATAACCCGACTAGCTACCACTAGTATTTTTTACACTTTTATATTTTTTTTAGTTTCATTTACATAAAGAACCATGTGGTTTTTGGTTCTTGATTCACGATTTTATTATTCGATAATTAGTACAATTATCCCAGGCTTACTTTGCTACAAAGAAATGTCTAGATGCACTTTTTACACCTTTTGTTTGGAGATTTTAAGTTTTAGAAACAAAACTATTTTTGAAGCAGCCCGGAAAAACAATTTATTATTATTATTATTATTATTATTATTATTATTATTATGCCCAATCTTTTTTTTTGAATTTTAGTTTTGAGCACTAAACTAAAAATTAATTGTGTGGTTTCGTTTTAAAAGTCAATTAATCAATGTTTTTATTTTTTAACAATTACCTTACATCTTGTTTGGTTTTCGATAAAATCATACAAGAGTTAGGGGTTGTTTGTTTTTTGTCTTCAGATCTGCGTGACCTCTTTTGTCTACGCCGTGCAGACCACACGCAGACATAAGGGCTTGCAGTGTGCTTGTTTTTCAGAAGTCTGCAGACATAGAAACATCTGCGCTAGGTCTTCATGGAACAGACATGGTCTTGAGTCTTCTTATGTCTGCATACTTTATTAAACCTAAAAAAACATACACATCTTTCTCTCCACATATCAGCGCTTCCCTATAATGCCTCCTTCATCAGACATCTTCTTCCTCTCCTTGCTGGTGCCGACCATACCGATGGTCGACGTCATCGTTGTCTAGGAGGACGTACACATCTGTCGCCGACATCCATCAACACCTCCTCACCATTGACATCTCCCTCCACCATCAAACGTTTTATCTACCTTCGCCCACTCTCGTCGACGCTACCTGTCACGCCCTCTGTCTCCGTCGCATACCATCTTCACAAATATCGGCGATGTCTGCAACTACCGGTAAGTTGTTAGTAAAGTTTTTTCCCCTAAAATCGGATGCTAGGGTCTGTTCTTAATGCTCTGAAATCAAAATTTTTGCTCGAAATTGGATTTATTTGCTGAAATTAGATATTCATAGTTGCTGATTATCATATATATTTGCTGAAAATCCATATAATTTGTTGATATTATTCAAATCTGATGTTATATTTGCTGAAAATGTATATAATTTGTTGAAAATGATGAAATCTGATGTTATTGTTGTTGGAACTAATTTTTCTCTATTGATCTTTTGCTTAATCTAGATATGTATATAATCTGTTCAGCTTAACCTTTAATTAGGGATTTTGTATATGGACATTTTCTTATTTATATTTTCTAGGGACATACAAATTCCTAAAGTTTTAAATTATAATGAAGAACATCATGCTTAAATATGAAAGTTTCTTGGTTTGATCTGAATTATTAATCACATAACACCTTCTAATATTGATCTTGTTGTTTGTAGGTACTTGAATAGGCTGGAAATGCCATTAGGGACAAGTAAAATAGTATAAGTTCAAGGCTTGTTTTGTTGAGCAATTAGAAATGATGAAGAACTTGAGAAATTACTCGTTATTTTGTATATAGATCATATGATAAGTTAGTACGTTTATTTTTAGTACATTTGTTTTTATCGATATCTATTGATTTAGCAACTAGTCTTTTTATGACTTAAATATAGAGCTTTTTTGTTTGATGCAATATTTTAGAAAATGGAGCTTGCATGTTTAATTTAACAAGTCTAGTGTATTATATTTTTGTGATTCTTGGAACCGAGGATGCTACCTATTACAAAATACCAAATAAAATATAACATACTTAAACAAAAAGTAACAAGCTTGTGGGATGATTAATTGGCTGTCACAAACACTGAGACAAGCTTGTGGGATGATTAATTGCTTTAAGACCGAATTTAACAAGCCTCTTAGGCAATATGAATTTTATTTCAATGTTTTAACACTGAAATTATTTTAATTTCGCTGTTGAAAAACTATTTTAAGATTGTAAAATCATTTTACTAAAATTCAAGCTTATTTTAGGGGTCTGCAAACGTTAAAAACAAACAATATTTTTCTTACAAACTACAGACGTTTGGTCTACCTCTTATTCTGTAATGGCTTACAAATAAGATCCGTAGACTGCAGACATTTTGACTTCACAAAAACAAACAATATCTTAGTTTCGCTTTATTTAGTTTTGCTTTATTTATATGTAATTTCTCTGAAATTAAAAATTAAATTATTGTTCTAATTATATTGATCTTTAATTTATGACCAACCATATTGCATGACTGCCAAGTGTTAACATATGTCGACATCCAAGTTGACCTTTCTCACAAACTTCCTTGATATCATAGAAACCAACATCGATTAGCCGCGTCCAACCGATATTAATGTTAACGACAATCTTCACAATCTCGAAGCACCGCGTATTCACAGTTCTCAGTTCTCACTCAGTAAGATACCAGAAATATATTCAGAGACGAATAAACTGAAAGAGATTGATCTCCAAATACAACTATGAACTAAACTCGATCATCTAATTTACAAATAATTACCGAGAACATAAAGAACACAAAATTTAGGGCTCCAAAACTGTTAATTCCTCGTAATTCACGAATAACTCCCATCAGTTTACGCCTGCGGGAGTGGCCAAGTACGTCGGAATTTCATCTCCGGCCATAATCACGACGATCTTCGGGCTGGAATATGCTTCATCATGAAACATCACCGCCTTACCACTTTCAACATCCTGGTCGCTGATGGCTGCCGGTCGTCTGTGTCGCTGTGAACAGGCTAAGATAACCAACGCCACTACTATGAGAGCAAGCATTGCAGCTATCCCTCCGAACAAGTAGGCCAACGGCGAATCGAATCTCCAAAACGAAGAATATCTTGATGATGATAACATGGCGGATGATGGTCGTGGGAGGCGCTGCAGCCACGAGTGTGTGTGAAATGGGATGGATTAAGGAGGTGCATATATAGTGGGAAATGTACTACATGCATTTGCAGGGAGTACAATTACTATTTCGAAAAGTTTTAATGAATGGTAATTGAAAGTTGAAATGAGCCTGGAATATTATGTTAGATTCCTTTTAGGTTTATTTCCATTCTTTATAGATTATTTTATTTTATTTTAATCTTGAGAGTAGGTTGTTCATTGTCGAATATCCTAAATAAAATTTGGAAATTGGAGTGTGATAACTAAATAAAATTTCAACTCATAGTATTTTGTATTTATCAGAACCAAATCCAATCCAGTTGTTCTGTTTTTTGCTAGTTATTTGTTAGTTTGATTTATAAAATCTTTAAATGTTAAAAAAATAAAATAAAAATAAAATAAAATAAAAAGAAAAAACTTCATCGAATTTTGGTTCCATCTGTAATTTGTTATTTTTCGGCAATGGTTATCTTTCATTAATTCAAAGAATATATTAATATATAACCAATAGATAAGTCTTGTTATCGAAAAGGGCCAATAATACAAAAATGTATTTTTTTTTTGACGAGAAATCTACTCTACTTATAAACTACTTCAGAATCCATCTATGTCCCTACCATTACTTGAACCCTCGACTTCAAAGAGAGAGAACAACAGCGGATACAGTTGGGCTAGAAGTCCGGTATTTTGGTACAAAAATATACTTACAAATATAAATATACACCAAGTCACTAGGATACCTCCACAATTATATATATATATATATATTATGGAAATTGTTTCTTATGAATAGTAAACTTCCACAATTTTTGTTTATTTTAGTCCCTGGACTTTATGTTGTTTTTTTTGGCAGAATTGGTTACTGTACTTTGGCAACTTTGGTCTTCATTTTTTAGCCATTTTGATACTTTTGGTTATTATTTATATTTATTTATATATTATGGAAATTGTTTCTTATGAATAGTGAACTTCCACAATTTTTGTCTATTTTAGTCTCTGAACTTTATGTTGTTTTTTTGAATAGTGAACTTCTACAATTTTTGTCTATTTTAGTCCCTGGACTTTATGTTGTTTTTTTGGCAGAATTGGTCCCTGTACTTTGGCAACTTTAGTCTTCATTTTTTAGTCATTTTGACACTTTTGGTTATTGTAATTGATATTTTTACATTTTTTAGGAACATTTTAATACTTAAAGTTTGGCCACAAAACTTTAACGGTTTGACAACTTTGATCATTTTTCTATTTAGGAACCTTTTAATATTTAAAGTTTGGCCACAAAACTTTAACGGTTTGACAACTTTGATCCCTTTTCTATTTCAGAACCTTTTAATATTTAAAGTTTGGCCACAACACTTTAACGGTTTGACAACTTTGATCCCTTTTCTATTTCAGAACCTTTTAATATTTAAAGTTTGACCACAAAACTTTAACGGTTTGACAACTTTGATCCTCATTTTTCAGCCATTTTGACACTTTTGGTCCTTGTAATCGATATTTTTACATTTTTTAGGAACCTTTTAATATTTAAAGTTTGGCCACAAAACTTTAACGGTTTGACAACTTTGATCCCTTTTCTATTTAGGAACCTTTTAATATTTAAAGTTTGGCCATAAAACTTTAACGGTTTGACAACTTTGGTCCTTATTTTTTAGCCATTTTGACACTTTTGGTCCTTATAATCGATATTTTTACATTTTTTAGGAACCTTTTAATATTTAAAGTTTGGCCACAAAACTTTAACGGTTTAACAACTTTGATCCCTTTTCTATTTAGGAACCTTTTAATATTTAAAGTTTGGCCACAAAACTTTAACGGTTCGACAACTTTGATCCATTTTCTAAAAACTTGCTAATTCCTACCGCTTTAATTCTTTAGCCATTTTGATACTTCTGGTCCTTGCAGTCAAGACTTTTACATTTTTTCATAAAAACATGAACAAAACGGTCCGGGGCAAAGCTCGGGCTTGTCCTCCTTGCACTTTCTACGTCTGTCATATTTATCGATTCGGAAACAACATTGAAAGCTTCTGGCCCCCGCATAGCGGGGGTAACCGTTCTAGTTTGAATAAAAGGAAACAACTGAGTGTTCTGTATCTAAAATCTAGAAACAAAGCTAAAGCAAGCCATTTCATGAAGATATCAGCGTATTGAGACGATGAGGGGGTATGAACTCGAATGTATTATGACTTTGTCCCGAACAAAATGTATGTCAATCTCTCTCTCTCTCTCTCTCTCTCTATATATATATATATATATATATATATATATATATATATATATATATATATATATATATATATATATATATATATATATATATATATATATATATATACTTGGTTCTCTAATGTTGAACCCGATTGCTCATGAGATATTCAACAATTACATTAGCAACTGCCCAATACTCAACCTCTATACGAGGGTGTGAAGTAGTTCCTTGTCGTTTCGAGGACTAGGACAAAATATTTTGCATGAGAAATTTACAATTCTTGAAGTAGAGCGTCTAATGAGGGGTCAACTCACCCACTTTGCATTATAATAAGATATTAAGCCTCACGATGCTGAGACAAACCGCTGAAGACCATAGTCGGTAATAACATGAGTATATCTCATAATCTATTTCAAATCTGTGAAATGAGGCTCTCGATGTGTAACACCCAAAAATTTAAGCCGATTTAAAACTTTTAAAAACATTTCAAACCATTAAAAATCATTACAACTTTGTTTTCAAAATGTATAATATCAGAGTTTTCCCATAAACATAAACAAAACATGAGGAGCTGTACGATCACGCCTTCGCCTTGCCGCGATCCCTTGATGTACCTGAAACAATAAACTGAAACTGTAAGCCCAAGAGCTTAGTGAGTTCCCCCAAAATACCCATACCCACAACAATACACATATAATCATAAACAACATATTATGAGTCCAGTCAACCATCAGGTTGGAATACCCCAGACTCTCAACCATCCGGTTGGAATGCCAACATACTATGGGTCCAATCATCCTCGGGATGGAATACCCCATGCCCACAACCAACGGGTTGGAATGCCCACATACTATGAGTCCAGTCATCCTCGGGATGGAATACTCATGGCCCATAACCAACAGGTTGGAATGCCCAGGTCTATTGGCTTTCGCACAAAGCAAATAAGCCTCAACCGAAAAACAAACATGTGCACATATAACAAATAATCACATAATAGTCTATAGACAATACTTGATCTAACGGATCATACCACATAACACATAACACCCTCCCCTCTACCAGGATGTTGATCTAACAGGTCATACCACATATCATATAATATTATCCTACCCTCCAGGATACCGATCCAACAGATCATACTAGCATAACATAACCATATAGCAATCCAAAGGGCCGACCTTGGTGCCTTAGACCCTTGAGTATAGTGAGGATAACTCACCTCGCAAGTAGCTCGGAAGGTAGTGTCAAACTCTTCCAAAAGTAGCTCCAACTCCCACACCTATATTCACCAATGTCCTTTGCTATCAACATTCATTTTACCAAAATACCCTCAAAAGTCAACAGGTCAACCCTTGGTCAAAGTCAAAGTCAACTGTCAAGGTCAACAGTCCATGTTGACCTTAACTCGTCGAGTACCCTTAGCTACTCGCCGAGTTCCTTGCACAACTTGCCAACCCACCTAGTCACTCGTGTGACTCGTCGAGTTCCTAGTGTCAGTGGTCGTAAATCCTTGGCCAACTCGCCGAGTTTTCCCTTTATAACTCACCGCGTTCATACGTGTCCAAAGGTTGGGAAAACCCTTGCCGACTCACCGAGTCACTCGACTGATTCGCCGAGCCCACGGCAACCTTCATCGGACTCGCCGAGTCGTTCATACAACTCGCCGAGTCTACGACAATCTTTATTGGACTCGCCGAGTCGTTCATACAACTCGCCGAGTCTCTTCAGTCCTTTATTCATACAGATGATTTTAAGCCATGCTAGGGCTCCAAATTGTAGATCCAGCTTCCCAATGCACGTTTATCACGTAAAGTTGCAAACTATACGTGCATGCACGGCTCTAATGACTCATAATGCCAAAACTAAACTTGAAATGGAGTTTAACTCAAAAGGAAGGGTCTGTACTTGCTTAAGCTGTAAGCTTTATGGACCTAAAGACCAAGGAGGGTTCAGATCTGAAGTTGCAACTTCAGATCTTAGCTCATACCCAAGAATAGCTTCATAACATGATGAAAAACCCTAATCTTCAACCCAAAAGAGATCTAGAAGGAAAGAAGGTCAAGGTAACGACTTGATACCTTCAAATGGTGCTATCTGAGGTAGATTTCAGGTCCACACAAGCTCCTTGCTGCTAGCTACTTGATCTTCAAGTTCCCTTCTCTAAGAATCTTCTTCCAAGGCTTGAAACACACAAATGGAGCACACACACACGTATTAGGGTTTTGCTGAACTCTCTAGAGGCTGCAAAGGGAGGCTAAGGGGCAAATGATCCTTTAAATAGGATGCAAAACCCCAGAATTTAGGGTTTCATCCTCCAGCTCCTACTCGTCGAGTCCCTTATTGGACTCGGCGAGTAGGTCACTAAAACACGCGACCCAACCCGCTGCTACTCGACGAGTAGGGCAACCAACTTGTCGAGTAGACCTTGAAAACAAGAAAATTCTTATATTAATTCAATACCTGAGAATCGGGGCGTTACACGATGATCATGCATGTACATGAGCATATGATATATAAAGTAGATGATGTCATGTCGAATGAAGATAAGATATTATAACGCGTTAGGAAGGATGTGATATGATCTGAAACATGATGATTGTAATCATGCAACTTGGTTCATGTATCAACTGGAATACAAGAATATTTGCAATTGAGCATATTGGACTATTTTAAAATTTAGAATACATACTTTCTGTGACATCCTCAATTTCACGGCCATAAAAGACCGATTTGTTTATGCTTTGTTTTTAAAATCAGAG